ACATTGTGTTAGGGCGATTTTGGGGGTTGGGACCCGACCTAAGGCCAACAGAATTTTGCGGGGGTTTGGGCCCCCCTCAAGGCCTTTAGAAGAGCCCTCCTAAGGCCAGCAGAACACATTGTGTTGGGGCGATTTTGGGGGGTTTGGGGCCCCTTCAAGGCCTTTAGAAGAGCTCTCCTAAGGCCAACAGAACCGAAAATTCCTAGCACATTGTGTTAGGGCGATTTTGGGGGTTGAGGCCCGACCTAAGGCCAACAGAACCGAAAATTCCTAACACATTGTGCTAGGGCGATTTTGGTGGGGTTTGGGCGCCCCTCAAGGCCTTTAGAAGAGCCCTCCTAAGGCCAGCAGAACCGAAAATTCCTAACACATTGTGTTAGGGCGATTTTTGTGGGTTTGGGGCCCCTTCAAGGCCTTTAGAAGAGCCCTCCTAAGGCCAACAGAACCGAAAATTCCTAACACATTGTGCTAGGGCGATTTTGGGGGGTTGGGGCGATTTTGGGGGGTTTGCCCTGCAAGGCCTTTAGAAGAGCAATCCTAAGGTGATTATGGGACGTCAGAGGATGAGGAAAGAGAAGGGGAGGGAAGAGAAGACAACACCAGAGAAAAGCAGTGAAGAGCAAGGACCAGCAAGAGCGAAAAGAAGAGCAGAGAAAGCAGCGAAAAAAGCAAAGAAGGGCAGAGACGCGAAGAGAACCCTGACCCCAAACCCCGGGAAATTGGAACCTTTTTCGGTTCGGTTTCTATTTCGGTTCGGTTCGACGGTTCCGGTTTCACTACTCGGTTCACAGGTTCCGGTTCTGACGGTTCCGTTTCCACGGTTCGCGGTTCGGTTCCTTTCCTTCCTGTATACATATACACATACATACATACATACATACATACATACATACATACATACACTGGCTGGCTGGTTCCTCAACCATAACCCAGGCAATGCTTCTCGGCGGCGGTTGCTGCCGGGCCAACCCGCCAGCTGGCTTGGTATAATCAAGGCATAGCAGCCGCAGAGCTGTGGCAAGAATGCCAAGAACTTGAGGGGACAGGACAGCAATTACTGGAGACAGCTATAGCGGCTTTTCGAAAGATTCTCGAGCTAGACACCTCCCGGCGGTCAGAGCTTCGCTACCTCGGCACAATCGCTGCTGGACGCTTGCTGGTGGCAGCTGCTGAGCGATCGGATGAGCTCGGCACCTCTCACTGCGACGCTCTCCTTCTGGAGGCGACGAGGCACTTTGAGGAGGCTCATCGTCTGGTCCGCGAGTGGGGCCACGATGATCTGGGCGATGCCTGGGGCGATTGGGGCAAAGCGCTGGCACTGCAAATGCGAAGGTACATCTCCAGTATCCCCAGCCTTGGGAGCCAGAGCCGAAGCCTGAATTGGAGTGACCTCTTGCAGAGAGCAAGTACTCTTTGCAACCAGGCTTCAGAAAGGTTCCAGGCCGCCACAGAAGCAGTGGGAGAAGGGGAGGACGAGGAAATGGAAGACCGAAGCACGGGTGACCTGGATTGGATGGTTTTGCACATCGAGCACCTGTCCGCTTTTGTGAGTCTCGCTTCCCGGGGCGTCACCGAAGCTCCTGGCGCTGAGTCGCTGGAGTGGCTTCGTCGTGGGATCCTTGCCTTTCAGGAAGCGGTCCGTTTGGCTTTTGCAGTGGTTGACCTCGCTGATTCAGCTGACTGGCAGCACAAAGCCTTGCAAGGAGATGTCTTTGCAGCAGGTTACCACCTCCTCTGCGCTGCGAGACCTCAACACCAATTGGTTGCGGAGGCGCCCGAAACATGGCGGAGTGGCCTCTTCGGAAGCCAAGGTATGCTGATGCCCTCGCCTCCAATTTCAGGCGAGTCTGCGCCCGCACAAGCCCAACCACAGCCGGTCGAAGTGACGGCGGAGGACCTCGTACGCCTTGCTGAAGAAGCGTATGGCCGTGCTTTGGCAGCACCTGGGGTGGACAGAGGAGAGGTGGGACTCTCTTGTGGAGAGCTCGCATTGTCGCTGGCCCGGCGTGCCCTCGCAGATGGCCGGGATGCCACGTCGGCTCTGCAGGGTGCAGCAACTTCGCTGCAGCTCGCAGCCCGCTTCGGCACCCGGGAGGAGAAGGCCACTGCCTGGTACAACCTCGCTTGCGCTGCCGCGTTGGCCGAGCGGCCTTCGAAAGCCAGTGAAGCGCTAAGAGCCTGCCTTGAACTCGTTTCACCGGCATCTCGTAAGGATTGGCTTCGAGAGGCATCTGAGGACCAGGATCTTAAGCATCTGGTCTCGAGTCCTGACTGGTCACGCGCTACGGGAGGGTATTGACACCAGCAAGTTTACATCTCTTTTCTGCACATGCCTGCACTCGATTTTCCCAGCTCCGGTTCGAAAAAGATTCGTGTCGACTTGACTTGTAGCAACCTAATGAGAACCCGTGAGGTATCAGAGTAGCTATCACGCTTGTAGTTCATTTTCTGCAGTAGATTTCAAGGATTGCCCCGTGGGCTTTAAATTTAGCGACAGCAAGCACCATGCTTTCCAGGTTGAGTCTTCACTGCCGGTGGATGAGTGCGCTGATCTGTCCGATGAGCTGTCCGGATGCGCACTGCGCCCCGGCCATCAGATCGCTGTTGCGGATCGCCACGACCTAGATTTAACCCTGTCGGCACGACATGCGAGATTTTGCAACGCAGGCCTTGCCCGGAAGTGTGCCCAGGAGTGCCTTACAGCTCAAAACGCAGAAGCACTTGTCGGATTCCGACTTGCCTGGCAGCTTCTCTGTGGCGCTCTCCACAGAGGCACGGCTCTGAATCAGGGCTCTTCTGCGCTCAGCTGGAGATCCGAAACTCCTGTCGCTTAGCATAGGAGCAGCAGGGGCATTCCAGTTCTTGGGGTCTGCCTGAAGTCGCTAGGCTCGCATTCTCGTAGAGTCCCTATACAGCTTTAAACTGTCCCATACCCCCCCCCCAAAAAAAAAAAA